AATTGAACTTCGTCATTGCAAGCATATATAACCCAATTAATTTTTTTCGTTGATCTTATATCCTTTGACCTTGCTGAATTCACTTAACTCTTGTAGAGTCTGTTAGAGTTTCAAAATATATAATCATATTATCTGTAAAAAATTAGTTATTTTTCCTTTCCAACTGATGCACCCTTTATTTTTTTCCTTTCCTTATTAATATGGCTCAGATTTACATAACAATGTTAAAGAAAAGTGGTGAAAGTGAAAGTCCTTGCCCATTTCCAAATTATAGGGAAGAAGGATTCATATTTCATTAAGTATGATGCTGGCTGGAGGTTTTTTATAGATGCCTGTCTTAAGCCATTTTATGCCAACATAACAGAATACTTGAGACTGGGTAGTTTATAATAAACCAAAATTTACATGGCTGATGGTTCTGGTGAATGAGAAGTCCAAGATCAATGGGCTGTATCTTGCAAGGGCCTTCTTGCTGCATCATCTCATGGGAGAAGGGTGCAATGGCAAAGCCTGTGCAACCAAGCATGGGAAAGTGGGAAGAATTCATCCTTTTATCAGGCACCTACTCCCACAATAATGGCATTAATCCATTCATGAGGGCAGAGCTCTCAGGACTTAATCACCTCTTAAGGGTCCCACCTCTCAACTCTGTTGCACTGGGGATTATAACACACAAACTTTGAAAAACACATTTAAATGATAGCAATGCCATTTTATCAGACTGAGAAAGTTCTTTCCTGTTATTAATGTACGGTGAGTCTTTAAAGTAGTAAATTTTAAGTTATTTTTGCACATGTGTTAAGGTGCTATATACTTCCTCCCTCTTTTAATGCTAATGTAGTACATGACCTTGAATGATTTTCAAATGTTAAACCAACTGCATTCATGGATTAAACATGACATGGTAATGATATATTATCCTTTATATTTTACCAGATTTTATTATTAATATTTTCAAGGAAATTTGCATCTACATTTATAATGAACATTGTTCTTTTCTTATATATTTGTCAGGTTTAAGTATTGGGGTTATGCTGATCACATCAAATGAGTTGGGAAGTGTTTCTCCCCCTACCTCATATCCTAAAGGGGTTTGTGAAGGATCAGTATTATTTCTTCCTTATGTTTGGAAGAATTGACTGGTAAAACAACGTGACCTAGAGTTTTCTTTGTGGGAAGCTTTTGGAATACAAATTCAATTTCTTTAACAGATCTGTGTTTATTTAGATTTTACATTTCTTCTGTTAGTTTTGGTATTTTTTTTTAATTTCAACTTTTTAATTCATTTATTTTTTTATTATACTTTAAGTTCTGGGGTACATGTGCAGAATGGGCAGGTTACATAGGTATACATGTGCCATGGTGGTATGCTGCATCCATCACCCTATCATCTACATTAGGTATTTCTCCTAAAGCTATTCCTCCCTTATCCCCCAATCCCCTGCTATCCTTCCCCCCGACAGACCCCAGTGTGTGATGTTCCCCTCCCTGTGTCCATGTGTTCTCATTGTTCTACATCCACTCATGAGTGAGAACATGTGGTGTTTGGTTTTCTGTTCTGTGTCAGTTTGCTGAGAATGGTGGTTTCCAGCTTTATCCATGTCCCTGCAAAGGACATGAACTCATGGCTGCATAGTATTCCATGGCATGCCCGCATAGCCAAGACAATCCTAAGCAGAAAAAAAAAAACAAAGCTGGAGGCATCATGCTTTCTGACTTAAAACTATACTGAAGGCTACAGTAACCAAAACAGAATGGTACTGGCACCAAAACAGATATACAGACCAATAGAACAGAACAGAGTCCTCAGAAATAACGCCATACATCTGCAACCATCTGATCTTTGACAAACCTGACAAAAACAAGCAATGGAAAAAGAATTCCCTATTTAATAAATGGTGTTAGGAAAACTGGCTAGCCACACACAGAAAGCTGAAACTCAATCCTTTCCTTACACCTTATATAAAAATTAACTCCAGGTGGATTAAAGATTTAAACATAAGACCTAAAACCATAAAAACCCTGGAAGAAAACCTAGGCAATGCATTCAGGACACAGGCATGAGCAAGGACCTCAACTTTTATTTCAGATTCAGAGGGTACATGTGCAGGTTTGTTAACTTAAGCATATTATGTGGTGCTGAGGTGTGGGATATGAATGATCCTGTTGCCCAGGTAGTGAGTATAGTGCTCAACATGTTTTCAACCCTCTCCCACCTCCAGTAGTACCCAGTGTCTATTGTTGCAACCTTTACATCCATGAGTGCCCAATTATTTAGCTCCCACTTATAAGTGAGAACATTTGGTATTGGGTTTTCTGTTCCTGAATTAATTCACTTAGGATAATGACCTCCAGCTGCATTCATGTTGCTGCAAAGGAGATGATTTTATCTCTTTTTGTGATTACATGGTATTCCATGGTGTATATGTACCACATTTTCTTTGTGTGATCCACCATTGATGGGCATCTAGGTTGATTACGTATCTTTGCTATTGTAAATAGTGCTGCAATGAACATACGAATGCATGTGTCTTTTGGGTAGAACAATTTATTTTATTTGGGATTATATACAGCTAGTGCTCGACTTACGACCACGATTGGTTCCGACAGACCAGTCATAACACGATTTGGTCGTAAGTTGAGTAGGCTATATGCACGCGGAGATGGTAGTGCTGCTGGAAGCTGGTCCGCACTGTCGTTCGCCCAGCTGGGCAACGTTTGTGCTGCCAGATGTGGAGCAGTCGTGGCTAGCGATTGTGGTCGTAAAGTCGAATGATCGTAAGTTGCATAGGTCGTAAGTCAATCAATACCTGTACCCAGTAATGGGATTGCTGGGTCAAATGCTAGATCTGTTTTAAATTCTTTGAGAAATCTCCAAACTGCTTTCCACAGGGGCTGAACTAATTTACATTCCTACCAAGAGAGTATAAGCATTCCATTCTCTCTGCAAGCTTGCTAGCATCTATTGTCTTTTTACTTTAGTAATATCCATTCTGACTGGTGTGAGACAGTATCTCATTGTAGTTTTGATTTGCATTTCTCAATAATTAGTGACGTTGAGCATTTTTTCACCTGTTTGTTGGTTGCTTGTGTATCTTCTTTTAAAAAGTGCTTGTTCATGTCCCTTGCCCACTTTTTTAAATGAGGTTGTTTGTTTTTTGCTTGTTAAATTGTTTATGTTCCTATAGATTCTGGATATTAGACCTTTGTTGGATTCTGGATATTGAACCTTTGCAAATATTTTGCACTTCCATTCTGTAGGTTGTACATTCACTCTGTTGATAGCTTCTTTTGTCATACAGAAGCTCTGTAGTTTAATTAGGTCCCACTTGCCAATTATTTTTTTTATTGCAATTGCTTTTCAGGACTTAGTCATCAACCTTTCTCAAGGCTGATGTCCAATATGATGTTTCCTAGGTTCTCTTCTTGGATTCTCATAGTTTGAGGTCTCATATTAAATTTTTAATCCATCTTAATTTTTGAATATATTGACAGGTCCAGTTTCATTTTTCTGCATCTAACTGGCCAGCTATCCCAGCATTATTTATTGAATAGGGATTTCTCTCCCCATTGCTTAATTCTGTCAACTTTGTTGAAGATCAGATGGCTGTAGGTTTGCAGCTTTATGTCTGGGTTCCCTATTCTTTTTCATTGGTCTATGTGTCTGTTTTTGGACCAATACCATGCTGTTTTGGTTACTGTAGCCTTATAGTATACTTTGAAGTAAGGTAGTGTGATGCCCGTGGCTTTGTTCCTTCTGCTTAGGATTGCTTTGGTTATTTGGGCCCTTTTTTGGCTCCGTATAAATTTTAGAATAGTTTTTTTCTAATTCTGTGAAAAGTGACATTTGCAGTTTGATTGAAATAGTGCTGTTCTGAGCAGTATGGCCAGTTTAACAATATTGACTCTTCCAATTCATGAGCATGTAATGTTTTTCCAGTTTTTTGTGTCATCTGTAATTTCTTTCAGCAGTGCTTTGTAGTTCTTCTCATTAGTAGAGATCTTTCATCTCCTTGGTAGATGGATTCCTAGGTATTTTTTTTTAGGCCATTGTGAATGGGATTGTGTTTTTGATTTGGTTCTTGGCTTGAACACTACTGACATATAGAAATGCTACTTTTATACTGATATTGTATCCTGAAACTTCACTGAAGTTGTTTATCAGTTCCAGGAAACTTTTCATGAAGTCTTTAGGGTTTTCTAGATATAGAACTGTTATTGTTAGAAAAGGGAGATAGTTTGACTTCTCTTATCTCATTTCTCCAGCTAGGACTTCCAGTACTATGTTGAATATAAGTGATGAGAGTGAGCATCCTTGTCTTGTTCTCAAGAGGAATGCTCCAGCTTTTGCCTATTCAGTATGATGTTCGCTGTGAGTTTGTCATAGCTGGCTCTTATAATTTTGAGGTATGTTCCTTTGATGCCTAGTTTGTTGAGGGTTTTCATCATAAAGCAATGTTGGATTTCATCAAAGGCTTTTTCTGTATCTATTGAGAAGGTATTTTTTTTGGCATTGTTTTGGCATTTTGGATTTCAAGGAACTTGCCATTTTATCTAAGTTGTTACATTTACTGGCACAACGTTATTCATAATATGACCTTAATTATCTGATTTCTGTAGGATCTATAGTGATGCTCCCATTTTCATTCCTGATTTTGATCTTTGTGTTATTGGGTTACAGCACAGAGCAGATAGCAGAACAGAAAATGTAAGTAAAATGTAGTATCTAAAAAAATTAAGTAAAAATCTGAGCAAATATGTACAGGATCCATATAAGGAAAACTACAAAACCCTGATAAATAAAATCAAAGAACTATATATATTTTTTAAATTAAAAATTTTAATATATATTTTAATGCAGTACATAGAAATAAAGAGATGAGAAAACTGAAAGTGAGGCTAATAGAAATGTTAGGTTGAAGGCCTTAAATAAGTCAGGGTTTCACAAAAAGAGAAGAGACAAATGATGAAATATTTGAAAAAAATAATACTTGATTTTTCCAGAATGAAATATTCAGGTATGTAGATGCAGTAAGCATAGCACATATAAAAGCAGGATAGCTAAAAAGAAACCCATAACTAGAACCATTAGAGTAAACTCCATAACACCAAGATAAAGTCTTTAAAGAAGCCTAAGGAATTTAAAGAAATCATCTATGTAGAAAATCGAAAATAATCAATTAAAAAACTGGAACCAGAAGGGGCCTGAGTGATAGACCTTCAGCAGGGCTGTAGCTACCATCTTTTCTCACACGGGCATTGCTGGGCTGTCGGTCTGGACCTTGCAGCTGCAATCGATTCAAGTTCAAAATATGGCAACTTTGAAAGGTATTACAAGGCAACTAAAGTTCATCTAAAACATCCAGAAAATTACCAAGTCTATGAAAATCGTAGCAGCAGCAAAATATACCTGAGCTGAGAGAGAGTTGAAACATGCTCGAATATATAGATTGGGATCTTTGGTTCTGTATTAAAAAGCTGGTATTAAGGAGCCTGAAGACAAGAAGAAACATCTCCTTATTGGTATGTCCTCAGATTGAGGAATGTATGGTGCTATTCATTCCTCCACTGCTAAACAGATGAAAAGCGAGGTTGCTACACTAACAGTAGCTTGGAAAGAAGTTATGCTTGATGAAATTGTTGACAAAATCAGAGGCATACTTTATAGGACTCATTCTGACCAGTTTCTAGTGGCATTCAAAGAAATGGGAAGAAAGCCTCCTACTTTTGGAGATGTGTCAGTCATTGCTTTTGAATTACTCAATTTTGTATATGAATTTGATGAAGTCTCCATCAACTTTAATCGATTCAGGTCTGTCATCTATAAGACAGAAGAAAAGCCCATCTTCTCCCTTAATACCACTGAAAGTGCTGAGAGCACGAGTATCTAAATGATATGGATGCTGATGTGCTGCAAAATTACCAAGAATACAATCTGGACAACATCATCTACTACTCTCTGAAAGAGTCCACCACTAGTGAGCAGAGTGCCAGGAAGACAGCCATGGACAATGCCAGCAAGAATGCTTCTGAGATGATTGACAAATTGACATTGACATTCAACCGTACTGGCCAAGCTGTCATCACAAAAGAGTTGATCGAAATTATCTCTGGTGCTGAACCTCTGGATTAATGAAAACAAAGTTCCATCCTCAGAGAAGAGGTAAGGAAGGAAAATTCAGCCAGGTGATTTTGTTTTTAGCTTACTGCTGTCTTTGCCAAAAGTGTTCCTCCATTGTTTGAATTACTGCAGACAGCAAGATATTTGTAAATTATCTTATAATTTAAGATAATTAAACAACTTAAAATAAGAAAAAATGGAACTAATAATTGATTATAAAGAAGTTGCAGGGTATAAGGTTAGTATACAAAGTCAATCACTTTCCTATATATCAGCAATGAACAATAGAATTTGAAATTAAAAACACAGCATAATTTACATTAGTATGTAAACAATTACATAGTTTTTGTTTTTTTTGTATTTTGTATTTTGTATTTGTATTTCTAACCAAATATGTAGAAGATCTACATAAGAAAAACTATCAAACTCTGATAAATAAAATCAAGAATTAAATACATGGTGAGACATTTCATGTTCATGAGTAGGAAGACTTAATATGGCCAAGATATCAGTTCTTCCCAACTTGATATATAGATTCAATGCAACTGCAACCAAAATTCCAGCAAGTAATCTTACAGATACTGACAAACTGATTCTAAAGTTTATAAAGAGAGACAAAATACTCAGAATAATTAACACAACATTAAAGAAGAACACAGTTGAAGACATGGCACAACCTGACTTCAAGCCTTATTATAAATCTACAGTAATCAAGATGATGTGGTATTGATGAAATAGCCCAGTGGAACAAATAGACCAATGGAACAGAATAAAGAACCCAGAAAAAAGATCCACATAAATATAGGCAGCTGGCCTTTGACAAAGGAGCAAAGGTAATACAATGGAATAAAGAAGCTTTCTTTTCCATGGTGCTGGAACAATTGGATATCCACATATAACAAAAATTAATCTAGACACAGACCTTACACCCTTTACAAAAATTAATTCACAATGTATTATAGATACTATGGTTTGAATATTTGTGCCCCTTCCAAACTTCATGTTGAAACTTAATCCTCAGTGCAACAGTAATGACATGGAGCCTTTAGGAGGTGACTAAGTCATTAGAGATCTACCCTTATGAATGGGATTAGCAACCTTATGAAAGAGTTAGAAGAAACGAGCTAAGTCTCTTTGTCCTTCCATACCCTCTGCCATGTAAAGATATAGTATTCATCTCATTTTTTTCTTTTTGTCCTCGTACCATGTAATAACACAGTGTTAGCCCTTTCTACCACGTGAGAATGCAGCAACAAGGCTCCATCCTGGGAAAAGAGATCACTCCACCGACACCAAATCTGTAAGAGCCTTGATCTTGAAATTCCCAGCCTCCAAAACTGTGAGAAATAAATTTCTATTATTTATTAATTACCAAATTTAAGAGCACATTAAAAGGACCATGACTATGATCAAATGGAAATTATCCCAGGAACACAAGAATGATTCAACATACACAAATCAGTAAGTGTGATATGCCATATTAACAGGATGAAAGATAAAATTGTCATGTCAATAGATGCAGAAACACTATTTGACAAAATTCAACATCCTTTCATGATAAATACTCCAAAAAATTAGGTACATAAGGAATGTATCTCAGTATAATAGAGTCCATATGTGACAAGCCCACAGCTAACTTCATGCTCAATGACAAAAAACTGAAAGCTTTTCCTTGAAGATCAGTAACATGACAAGGATATCCATAATTTGCCACTCATTTTCAGTATGTTACTAAAAGTTCTGGCCACAGCAATTTGGGAAGAAAAAGAATTAAAAGGCATCCAAATTGGAAAGAAAGAAGTAAAATTGTCTTTGTTTGCAGACGACATGATCTTATATACAGAAAACCCTAAAGGCTCAACCAAAAAACCTATTAGAACTAATCAATTCAGTAAAGTTACAGGATACAAAATCAACATAAAAATGAGCAGCATATGTATACACTAACAACAAGCTATCTGAATAAGAAATTTAAAAACACCCCATTTACAACAGCATAAAAAAATACTTAGGAATAAATTTAACCAAGGAAGTGAAAGCTCTGTATATAACACTGATGAAAGAAATGAATAAGATACAAATAAATGAAAAGATCCTATGTTCATCAACTGGAATAATACTGTTAAACTACTCATACCACCCAAAGTGATATAAACATTCAATGTAATCCCCATTAAAAGTCCAATGACCCATGTTTCACAGAAACAGAAAAAATAATTTTTGCCATAAAGACCCAGAATAGCCAAATCAATCTTGAACAAAAAGAACAAAGCTGGAGGCATCACACTACCTTATTTCAAGATATACTACAAGGTTAAAATAATCAAAACAGAATGCTACTCGCATAAAGACAGACATACTGAAAAATGGAACATAATAGAGAACCAGAAATACACACATTTAGTCAAGCGATCTTCAGCAAAGGTTCCAAAACATGTGCTAGAGAAAAGATAGCTTCTTCAATAAATGACATTAAGAAAACTGGATGTTCACATGTGGAAGAATTAAACTGGACCCTTATACACACACCATATACAACAAGAAACTCAAAATGGATTAAAGACTTACACACAAGACTGAAATCATAAAACTACTAAAAGAAAACATAGGGGAAAAGATATTTTGCATTGGTCTGACAATGATTTTTTTTTTTTTTTTTTTGA